AAGATCTGAGTCCAAATTCTGTCTCAGACACCTACTAGTTGTGTGACCATGGGCAAGCCATTTAACCTGTTTGTCTGAATCCACTGAAGAAGGAAATGGGAAACCACTCTAGTATCTTTGCCAAGAAAACCCTATAAACAGTGCGGTCTGTGAGGTCAGGATGAGTTGGACAGGACTAAACAACAACAAAATATCTGCATGTGTAAATCACAAAATCTTGATTCTGAAAGACCAGCTAATCCTTACTACTATATTAATTTATTTGAACTATTAAATTTGGATAAGAATCAGGTTTTTTAAAATTTCTTTTTCCCTTTACATTCACATAGCAATAGTTCTGAGAGTTGGGGCTCTTCCAATCAGTTATATTAAGGTGACAAATACCTATCTATAGCTGTACAGATATATAAAACAATTCCATTTTTTAGTTTATCACCTTCCTTCAACAAGCTCCAAGTTCTTCACATTCACTTAAAAACATGTGGTATTTATTATTATATCAATATTGCAGATAAAGAAATGATATATCAAAAAAGTTAAAATTGTTACCCAAACAGGAGAAAGCAGGTCATTGACCATTCTGGGCCTCCTGACTTCTACTTTATTGTAGTTACATCAGTCCAGACAATAAACCTCAGCCTTACAAAATGAAATACAAATTTACTAACCTATAAACCACAGTTCCTCCCCATGGAAGCATGTAGATAGAACAAAATAAGTGAAATTGCATTCTTTTTCTTTCATTTAGCATATGCATATGGCATTTCTTACTCTGGGCAAATGACTATTTGCAAGGCTGGAAAAGCCTAGTGCAGGAGGAAGCAGCCTGTGACACAGATAGTTGCTGGTGGCACTGTAGCATTCAATACCATATGGACCTCTTTTCTTTCTATCGCTTTCTCTATTTCCTTTGCTCTCTCTTTTCGTCCTCTTTTTTTTTTCCTTCCCCTCCCAGTATCCTACTTACCTCACAGGATGGGTGAGAGTGGAAAAGAATTTGTAAAGTTTCTCTCTCGATGTGCTTTTTTCACATGTTGTAATTATTATTCTCTACTAATACCTAAGGTTTCAAGTGGCCCCTACAGATACTGATGTGCCCCAGTGGGAAAACAAAGCTAAGGGGTATAGAGTTTATTGACATCTGGCTTTAGCATGACCATGTGTTGGCCTCCTCAAAGAAGGGTAGTATGAGCCCTAGTCTTGGGCATTTCCACTACATAGAACAAGAAAAAGAGAAAAAGAAATCTGCGCATCTGAAAACATATCTAACTATGGAGAAATCAGTCTCTTTGTGTTTGTGTTGTATGAGTATTATGTGGTTATCTTCTTAAGGGCAAGAAAGGAACACTGGTCTTTTTAAGTGTTTAAAGAAGGTATCAGAAAATGGTTCTTTTATTGGAGTGAAGAAAATAGTTCATATTTATAAGACACTTTGGAGTTGGCCAGGTGCCACTGCATCAATTCCAGGAAGAAAGTAGTTTAAATACTATTGTTCCCATTTTACAGATGAGGAAAATGAGGCCCAGAGAGTTTAGGTAAGCTGTCCATCCCCTTGTGGCTAGTAAGTAAAAGTGAGGGGATTGGAACCCAAGTCATCCTACAAAAAGTACAATCATCTTTCTAGTAAATTTGACCAATTAGCGAGTTCTTCTCTAAATTTTTCTTTCACATCTATCATATTCTAATGACTTCTCACAATTATTTTTATGAGTCCTACTTACTCTTCTAGATTGTAAACTTCTTGAGGGCAGTGACTAAGTCATTTTTTAATTTTAGATTTGTAGGGCTTAAACAAAGTGTCTTATACAAAGTAGAAACTAGGTTTATATTAAATTGAAGTTAATTCATTTATTCAATAATCATATGGTTATTCTGGCCCCCTGGGATTGGATTTTTTTGGGGAGGGAGTCTGTTTATCAAAGGAGATTTTTGTGCCATGTGGATTTCCAGTCAATGAATTCACTTCAAGATCTCAAACCAAGCCCCATCCTTTTTTTTACGTCCCTGACATTTAACAATCCAGTTGTTAACATATTTTTAAAATCTGACAGGTTATTTCACTTCCAAAATGATACTAAGAGTCACACATGTCAGAAAACTATTTGATAAGTTGTGTTCATTTCAAGTGTAGTATGTAAGCCCTGAATCCTCACTCTTCAATCCTGCAAAGTGTATCAATAATTATGCCAAATCAATCCAACAGTTGATTGAGGTGTTTTCAGTTTGATATGGGTGTCAAAATGCAAGCATAAGCTTTATTCAGCTCATTTTTGCTGGCTGCAGTGAATGAGAGAACTCCATTCATGCACCACATGGAATGGAATGGAATTAGGAAGAGGTAGCAAAGATTCTGTGTACATTTTCTTTGCAGCTGTAGAGGTGACTTCCCCACCTGGCAGCTTGTCCCTCCTTTGGAAACCTAATTATATCTGTCATAGGTATCATTTCAGAGGAGGATAGTATATTGTGTGATTCTCAGGTGACGCACTTTACCGAAGTGATTTCATGTGACCCACAATCCCAGTCTGGTTTTCATACATCCCTGTTCATTAATCTACACAGGAGCTATTTCAAACAGCTCTGTCATCGTCCCCTTTTTTTTCCCCCCAGATCTCTTTCTCTCCCCTGGAGCTGACCTAGGAGTTCCTACTGTGTCTTGGATGGCTGAGCAGTTCAGTAACAGAACCTTCCTGCTTTTATAGCTCATTCTGTAGGTTTCATTCCCCTCAGTATGTGGC